TTTCCCTATTTGTCTCTTTTATACTCTGATGATCTTTAAGATTCTCATCGCATGTTCTATCAGGTATGGGACTTATGGACAGAAGGAAATGCCTTGGAAATAGTAGACGAATCATTGGGTCAGTCATATCCCAGTAATCAAGTACTGAGATGGATTCAAATCGGTCTCCTATGTGTGCAAGAGCTCGCGGCAGATCGGCCACCCATGCTAGAAATTTTATTCATGCTCGGTAATGAGACGCCTCTTCCATGTCCTAAAAGACCAGCCTTCATCTACAAAAACTCCGGTAGCGATACCTCGACATCTAGAGGAGTTTCTGTAAATAATATAACGGTTACAGTGATGGAAGCGCGCTGAAGTTTCGGGCTTTGCCTTAAGTTTTGCCTCATTTTAGTATTCGTATTTTGTTTCACAGCGGGGGATTTTCTTGCCTTGCGCTGTTTTTGTCAACAACGTGCATTGGAAAGAGCTCGAAGTGACTAGGATTTCATTGCGGGAGATGAATTAAAACCAGTAACTAATTTGCTAATCAAAATTTTGTGCTTTAGATTGTACATACATGATACGTTTGTCCAATCTTATTGACGAAAAATGCCGCGCATTAAGAAGTACTATCTCATCACTAATTATTTTTGGCAAAGGCATCAGTGTCTTCATCTCAGATGTTTCATACCGATCATCTTCAATATCGCTCAAAATCCACTGCAAAGTGCTAAGTTAAAGCTTATTGTAATTCACATAACTAAAAGGTCAAGCTTTCCTATTCTTCTTTATATTTTATATTATTGGAAAAAATAAGTTTTTTTTTTTTTTTTTTTTTTTTTTTGGAAAAAAAAATTTTTTTTTTTTTTTTTTTTTTTTTTTGGGAGAAGATTGGAAAAACATAAGTTAAAACATAGTATTAGACATCGTTATTTACTTGAAACATATATATATATATAATTAGTCTCTTAAATCATCAGCATCTTATGCCTCAAAATACTCCCCAAGGCTTATGTCTCAAGGCTTACGAGGCGTGACGTCAAATGTGATCCATTATGGAAACTCGAAACAAAATTCCTGATCGCTTTGGAGTATTGATGATTGATAATTGACTATTCTCTTTAGAATATTTACTTAGTATTAATAATTGATAATTGACTATTGTTGATTAATAATTGATAATTGACTATTGTTGACGCTTTCAATTCCTTTTTAATTGTTTTCTTTTTAGTTCGTACTAACTTGTTGTTTAGCCAATTATCAAAAAAATAATAAAAAAAAAACCTTGTTGTTTAGCATGTTATTACTTGTTCCCTTGAGCAATTAAAAATGTTTAAGTGTTAAGATGATCTTATTGTGTTTTTTTAAACAAAAAATGCATTTCATTAAAATACTGATAAATAATCGTTTTGGTGTAATGCTAATCTATTAGAGGGATAAACGCACGCTTGAGGCCCGAAATTGAGAAAACACTACGGCACACTAACAACAAGCGGACTGAAAGCTCAATTGGAGAAAATCCCTCTCTCTAACATAAGTTGTCGAGCGTTGGAGGGACAAATCGTCAAAACCCACAGAAGGGGACAACTATACTGTGACG